TATGAGAGGATTATGGTGAGGGCCCTCTTCTCTCTATGACCTCATCTAGAGGAAAAGGGCAGGGCAGCTTTCTGAGGTCTCTTTTATAAAGGCACTAATCCAGCCGGGCGCGGTGGCTCACGCCTGTAATCCTAGCTCTCTGGGAGGCTGAGGCGGGCGGATTGCTCAAGGTCAGGAGTTCGAAACCAGCCTGAGCAAGAGCGAGACCCCATCTCTACTATAAACAGAAAGAAATTAATTGGCCAACTAATATATATAGAAAAAAAAAATTAGCCGGGCATGGTGGTGCATGCCTGTAGTCCTAGCTACTCGGGAGGCTGAGGCAGCAGAATCGCTTGAGCCCAGAAGTTTGAGGTTGCTGTGAGCGAGGCTGACGCCATAGCACTCACTCTAGCCTGGGTAACAAAGTGAGACTCTGTCTCAAAAAAAAAATAAAATAAAATAAATAAATAAATAAATAAATAAATAAATAAAGGCACTAATCCCATTTATGAGGGCTCCACCCTCATAAAGCCTAATCACCTCCCAAAGGCTTCAGCTCCTAATACCATCACATTGGAGTTAGGATTTCAACATATGAATTTTGAGGGAACACATTCAGTCCATAAGAGCCTCTCTCTGTGAAGCCTCTTATCATTCAGTAGTCTAGCCCAAGCTTCTGTAAGGAAGGCTGGCTGGATTCCAAAAGGACAATTTCAATGTGTAAATCACTGTCAAGCTTCTGCATACACCTCGCTTGCTAATAACCCATTGACAAAGCAAGACATTGTGGCCAAGCCCAGAATCAGCATGGGATGGAACTAGAACAAAGCATGAAAATCAGGAGGTACCGTTCATTGGGGGCTGCCAATATAGCAATTTACTATAGTCTGCTCTCTGGCCCCTAATAATCCACGTTCCTCCCACATGCAAAATACAATCACCCTCTCCTAAGCCCTCCCCACCCTCCAAACTTTCATCCCTTATGGCAGGGGTCCTCAAACTGTTTAAACAGGGGGCCAGTTCACTGTCCATCAGACCATTGGAGAGTGTGCACTGTGGGCCCGGGATGAGTCGGCTGCTAAGCAGGACAGGCAGCGGCGGCAAAAACACCCACAGGGCAGTATAAATGTGCTAGGTGGCCGCATGTGGCCCGCAGGCCATAGTTTGAGGATGCCTGCCTTATGGCATCAGCATCAGGCTTGAAGTCCAGTGTCTCATTATCTGAATCAGGCACAAAAATAGTTGAGGCTCCTCTGGTACATTTCTTCAGGTGCAGGGGCCTTCTGTGGTGTCCTAGAGCTAGCTCACACTGACTCATGGGAGCTGATTGTGAACATCTTCTCCCAACTCCATATTCAGTGATGTCACGTTAGTAGCTTGAAATTGGCCATAGTGGGAGAATTTACACTACAGAAATTGGTAAACACTACAAATCAGGGCTTTTCTTTCTTTCTTTCTTTCTTTCTTTCTTTCTTTCTTTCTTTCTTTCTTTCTTTCTTTCCTTTCTTTCTTTCTTTCTTTCTTTCCTTTCTTTCTTTCTTTCTTTCTTTCTTTCTTTCTTTCTTTCTTTCTTTCTTTCTTTCTTTCTTTCTTTCTTTCTTTCTTTCTTTCTTTCTTTC